ATATTGTCTGCTGTATAAAAAATTGCTAGGGATGGATAAATGTCACCAAGAGCCCAGAGACAGTCTGAGATCGGTCCCTCCAACACACCTTTGCATATTTGTCCTGCTTTTAGAAGATCAGTTTCCCTGGAGAAATTTAAGGGCTAATCTGTGTTCAGTGTTGTATCACGTGGATCAGTGTGCAGGAATGGGAGAAGTATCTTTTACTGCAATATCTAAACATAGTTCCTAGCACAAATGGAGGGACACTGACAAAAATGAGTCTGTAAAATTATTTTTAGTCGTGTGATACTTGTGCTCTGGTACTTGCTGCTAGCCACAATAGTCTCCCGCCTTGAGGTTGCGACATAATTTTTTCCATCAAGAAAAAAACAAGACCTGAGAGTCCAGCTCTGTCCCCAGGGCAGGATCTGCTACGCTTAAACCACCCTGGACCCCTCTCTGTGAAGAGCCTCCAGGAACAGAAGAGATTCTGCCTTCTCCCCAAGGGACTTACTTCAGGGCTTGAGTTACTGCTAGGAGCTCCTCCCTAACAGCCAACCTGCATCACCTTTGAAGCAAATGCAAACCATTGCTATTTGTCTCTTCCACAGTAATATGGGAAAAGGAAGCTCTTTGTAGCATGCTTTTTGAGTTACAGGTTTTTATCGCATCTTCTTACAGCCTTTTCTAGACTAAACAGCCTATTTGAAACTTTTCTTACAACTTGCTCCCTTTGAAGAAATCAGGCCTAAGCAAAGCCACATACAAACCCCAATCCTCCCTTGAGATACTGCTCTGCTTTCTTGCATTACTGACTTTTGCAAGTGACAACAGCTGCTCCCACATACAGAAGCCCTGCAACAGGCTCTAGTGAAGCAACAAAAAAACATCCTTTGATAGAAATGGGAGACTCATCCCTTGTTAAGTGCTGCCGCCCACGTAATTAGGATGCTCGCAGGCTATAAAGCAGCCATTTTCCAATCTGCTGGAGTTGTAGTGACATAGTTACTCCAGTGGGCCTAGGCAATCACTGCTGCTTGTACAGGCAGTTCTTGCCTTATATAGGTGCTCTGAAGAGAAAGTAAAGCATTTGTGTTTTGCAACAGGACAGTCTGTTCCAGTGGCACACAGGGTGAGTGGTCTCCTGGTCTGACCTTCTACAGGTTTTTCTAAGCGAGGTAGCTCACTGTAAAGTTGTTAAGGTGGCTTTGTGGATGTCTGTATCACTGGGTGTGAGTCAAGTTTAGTCTCTCCCTGTCGGTACAGACAGACTTTCAGTATTCATTGAGTTCTTTTTCACATGCAAATACAAGTAATGATGAGAGATGTCAGCGGAGAAAGGTGGGCTACAGCTTTGTCCCCACAGGTGTTGTATAATTCTAAGTGAATCTATATTTTGGTGTCCTTACCTTCATAAAGATTCAGCTAAGGATATAGAAGTCAAAGAATAGAGGAAGATGTAAAAAGAAGCGTTACTAGCTACATATGAGTACTTTAAAATGTGTTTATGGATTGGTCCAACTGTGAAAGCTAATTATTAGGCTTTTCCTCACCTTGTCTTCCATAATTATGTACCAGTTGTTTTGTGGATCTTAAATAGCCAGGTAGGCAGTGTTCATTTTTAGTTCGTTGTCCCTTAGCTGCTGTTTTGTGGTAGCTGTCTGTTTAGAACAGTGGATATTTCTCATACTTTGTTCATTACTTGTGGTTTTGTACTTTATCTCTCTTCAGTAGCTGTATATTAGTAACTCAGTCATCTTACTATGGACTGAACTTGTCTGTCAGCAAGTTCAGATAACAGAATGGATAGAGAGAAGGGTGGGGATAGGGAGAAGGGATGAATTTGATGTTAAGGAAAGATTCAACAAAGGAATGGGCTGCGTTGGATTGCAGCTTTGAGTACACGGACCTCTGAAGTGGCAGGAAAAACCACATACCTTACAGTAATGCTTTTGTTAAGCTATACTTATTTTCTGTAGAAGCAAATGAAAAAGAGAAAAACTATATCTGACTTTCAGATATTCTCAAACCTGTTGTTTGGCTCTAAGGCTTCTACTAAGATCATGCCCCAGGCCAGCAAAAATCATGCTGACATAGGTCTATGGCAAAGCTTTTATCTGAGGTTTTGCTTGATAGGGCTAATGCTTTGTTTACTAACAATGAAGACCTGAAATGTGCTTAGAAATGAACCTGCCTCTCAACTCTTCCTTTGTCCTTTACAAAGAGACCCTTGCACAGAAGCAAGGTTCTAAGTAAGCAAGTGGCCTTGGCAGCTAGGTGTAAAACTCCCACTATCAAAATACCTGTTGCTGTATGTGAAGAAATAGGACTTTGTGGATGCTAGTTTCTAGGCATTCAAGCCAAATTAACCTGAGACTGCATTTGGTGTGGCTACTGGAAAGGAACAAGCTGGCCCTTACAAGATGCCAAGGCCTCTGAAATGGTTTTGCTGAGGGTAGCACAGAATCAGCTTCCCTTGAGTTTCTCTGGCTATGATTGCACAAAATGAGTGCAATTGTTGTATTAGGTAAGCCAGCAAACTTAATTAGTGTTTAATCTTCCTTCTGTCACCATATTCACATTGTACCCCAGGTAGTTCAGGGCTTGTTAGTTGTTTGCAAAATTTGGAAATCTGAAGGAATTTGTTTGCCCCTTGACACATAAGCTAGCATCTAGGGGTTTTAGTTGCTTTCTTTCAAAGTGTTGGAGACTGGCCACAGCTAAAGCTGGGAGGTGATGGTCTGGCTAATAGTATTAAGTCCCTCTGGTCCCTGGCTGCTCTGCTTTCATATATTCAGGGTTAAACCATTCAGCAGACTTAAATTCAGGAAGGAATTTACCCCGGGGCAGCCTGGGACCATGGTGAGTGTTTTTGTCCTTCTCTGTCCTTTCAGCTTGTTTCCACAGGGGGCCTTCAGTATAATGAATCCTCTGCTGTGAAAGGCCCAGGCAGTGACTTGATCTCTTCTGCTCCTTTTCTGTAGCATAGGCTCCCTTACCAGAGGCCTTAAGTTTGCAGCTGTGCTAGGAATGTTCTTGTGTAGGGTACATCTTAAAGACTCTGCCAGACTAAATATATAGTATGTGTTTATATGCTGTGGTCTGCCTAGGTTCTTAGAAGCTCTAACAGCCAGTAAAGCTTCCTGGATTCATGTTCAGGCTTAGAACTGCCCCTCTCCTCTGCTGTCATGTAGGTTAGCTATGTTAGAGCTAGCATGCCTAGACTCATGCTACATGTGTCTTTATTTTGCAGATGCTCTAAGACACCAGTTGTTACTGCACATGATTGCATTGTAAGTGTTCTCCCTCCTCCATCAAAACTGATTTTTCACTCAAAGTAAACCATACGTTACTGTCTACCATCTTATTGCCAGTGATCAGTGAAGTTATCATGCTTGCACTTCAAATCATTCTGCTTTAGTTAAGAAGTTGTTTGATGAATGATTTCATTATGTTGCAGTGCTCAGCAGATCTAGACCTGCAGCATGGCTCCTGAAAGCAGTCTGTCAGGAAAAAAACCCAGGGCAGTGACCAAGGTTTAAGGATGTGTAGGTGTTGGTAGTCTATGGAGATCTGACTGAACTAAATTCCCTCTAGGCTGACAGGGTGAGGTTGTCCCAAGAATGCCTGCTATAGCAACTTGGGGCCTGAGGGCACTCTGTCAGATTTGGCAGGTTAACTCCTCTTGGTTTGGGGAAGGGTACAAATGAAGGAAAGTAACTAAAGGGAAGTGAGCTTAGGAAAGCTTCAACTGCTATTAGAGGTGGGATTCCTGCAAAATGTTAGCACTATGGCCTCCCAGAAGTTAGGTGTTGGCTGCAGCACAGTGCCTGCTTCTGAGTGGGATGTGAAACTAAGGCTGTGCCTTTCCCTGTGACCTCGTGAATCCTCCAGGGACTCTGCTAGCCTAACTCCTGACACAGAAAGGGCATGGAGACCTGAATGATCCCTAGTGTTCTTAGACCTGAAAACAGAGTTTTAAAGATCCTGCAGTGTTGTGTAAACAGTGTGCTGTTAAAGTATGTGTGAGACTTGCGGGGGCCCACTTGCACACTGAACGGGTTGTAGACTCCTTAACATAATGTGTCTCTCTTCTGGTTTCTAATCCCAGACCCTAGGGAAAGTTGCTACTTCTCTGTGCTATGGAGGGTCAATGTGAGTTCATGTCTACAAACAGTGTGAGGTCCTGGCTAAAAAAAAGAGCATAGTGTAGGCCCTGAAGTGGAAATAGGAGCAGTGCAGTCCTGTGCAGAACTTCAGACTTAATGCCAAATGGCAGCAGGAACTATTGGGCACCAGGACTGGTTTTTTTCATCAGGAAGTGAATAAGCAACAGAAAGATTTATTTTGGTATCTATAGCATTACAAATTGTCATTGACAGAAATAACTCTTAATAAAGATGGCAAATACTGTAAATGCTTTGCTCTGTCTTAAGTCTTCTAGTGTCACAGCTGCAGGTTTGGTACGCTGTACCTCCATGATGACACTGTGGCTGTGAACTTGCCACTCTATTCACACGAGAACTACTTCTGAAAAGGACATTGCTTTTATGGGACCGTTCAAGATGTAAGATACACCCTATAATAAATTCAAGCAGAGAGTTGGTCCCATGGGCTCAGTTACAGGTGGATTTTTGGATTTTCATGGTCACAAATGAATGTATTTCATTTTTTCCTCTAAGGTCTGAAATAATATTTTTCTTCAAAGATGCTATTTTTAAATTGATTTGAGACTGCAGATAATTCAGCTTGGCAATTTAGATGCAGGTTTCCTCTGAGCTTGGGTGTTACTCATTACCAGCCCACCTCCACTGACTTCAGGGGAATTTTTCCTACCAGTAAAGCAAGCACAGGCTCTGAAGCCCACCAAGACAGTTTCTGACTCTGCTGGGCTTTAAATCAAAGGCTAAAAGCATTGCAAGAAATGGGAACCTAACCTGTGTAGACTCTGAAACTCCTTGTCCTTAATAAAGTGCTAATGGCACCACTCATTGATGTATAGCTTAGGAAAGTGCTGATTAGGAAATATCCACTGTTGATTGGAAGGATCCAACTTTGGCAGTCGTGGCACCCCAGTTGGTGAATTGCAGGTATTCGCCAGGCCTCAGAAGGTACTGCTGTCCTCAGAAGTGTGGCTGTTCATAGAAAACCCAGCTTCCTTCAAGTATGTTACAAGACTGGATGTCCCTTTAGTGAAAGTCATCCTGGAAAGAAGGGCAGTTATCCATGAACTCCAACATCCCGTCTCCGAAGTCATTCCTCTCCTAGATCTGTAGCTGGCTGTGCTTCTGGGGCTGCGAAGGCAAATCCAGACATGGATGCAGAGGATGTCAAGTGGCAGTTCTAGGTGACTACAGCTTACTGGATGCAACACAACAGTGAATAGCCACTAGTATGTGCAGAAAAGTCAGTTTAACAGGAATAAATCTGACTGGGTCCTAATTTAAAGCTGCAGTGCTGTGGGTCCTTTCTGCTCCAGTGAGAGCACAACTGCTTCAAAAGAATTGCATTAGGGCAGGAAGCAGAGGTGGGGTCCAGCCAGGATGACCACATTTCAACTGTACGTGCAGGTAAGAAATAAGCTCAGTGACATACCTGGATTGCCACAGCAGCCCTCAGTGTTCCTAGATGTTGATATAATAACTGGATAAGGCTCTGGCTGGGACAGAGAGGAGCTTTTTCTGATCCTACTTTTGTTACACAGCCTTAGATGGGCAGGCTTTTTTTCTTTTCATCTACTAAGATGATAAACTGTTTCAAGACTGTCTCTGACTCTTGTATCTAGCACAGCAAAGATCTAATATAGAAAAATACTTTCTGCTCTTGCTTCAATGCTTAATACAGTTTTTGCAGGTGCTCAAGTGCAGTTGTATAGACACAAGACTACTGCTGCTGTGCAAAGACCAACACCCTAGTTAGTTAAAACAAAAAAACCACAACCAAACCCAAAAACACTTTAGTATCTACATTTGGGGAATCAAACTTTCCTGACACTCTTGTTCTGAATCTGGAAAGCATGCAGAAATGTGTCCTAATTTTAGGATTTTTTTTCTACCCCATACTAATTTTCAGTTTCTCTGCTCCTTCTCAGGTACTTCCCATCAGTCTTCCAAGTCAACTTCCCTTCAGTCCGTCTTGTTCCCACCATCCTCATCTGTGAATTCTTTCCTTCTACAGCTTGAAAGGACACAAGAGCGTCTGCACTAGCTTTCAGCACTTGGACCCAGAACTCAGCTAAGTGAAGCCCAGAACTGCATGTCAGTGAAAAAAATAGCTGCATTATCCTATGCAGATGGAATGTATCTGGAAACTTGCTGTGATGGTCTATGAAGCTGCTACTGGACAGGGAAACTGTGAATGGTACATAAAGCTTGCAACATGGATGGACTTAATTTTTTGTGAACATTGGAGGGACACATTCCAGCATCAAGGCTATTCCTGGGCCAAATCTCAAATCCTTAGCCTTATGTGTGAGTATTGAAATCTGTCACATCTTGGCAACCTCTCCCCTCTTAGTAAAACTCTTCCAGGGAATGAGTCTAGAAGGGAAAAACACAGATCTGTTTTGGGCTGAAGTACTCAGAAAAAAATCTATCATGAGGCAAATATGCCTTCATTTGCAGCTCAAATACATGGTGGTGTCTCTACAATGGGATGTGTCAGGTTGTCTCTGTAGTAGTAGTGTAGTGACCAACTTTGCCTACCCTGAAAGAAGAGCATTGACTGGGGCATGGGAGATGTGGTTTGGTTCTTAGCTCTGGACTAAACTTCCTTGTGTGGATCATGTATAGCCAGAGTGGTTTTAGAAGATTGGTGAAGTTAAGTGCTTTTATATATATATAAAATAATAGATAAACGTACTATTAAAATAAAAATTAATATA